CTCTGCACCGACCTTCGTCCCTGCGCGACGAGGTCGACGCCGCCCACGACGGAGGTGGTGGCTCTGCGGGCAATCGTCTCGAAGACGAAGTCGACGCCGGACCGGATGCATGCGAGGCTTGCGCACGTTGGCATGGACACCATACGGAGCTCGGCGAAGAACGAGGTCGCGATTGGGCTGGACCTCAAGTCGGCGACGGACGCCGACTCCCCGTGTGTCTCGTGCGTCGGTGGGAAACTGGCGCGACACACCTTCCCCGACCAAGGCTCCGACGCCGACGACGTGCTGAGCGTCGTGCACATCGACCTGTGCGGACCGTTCCGCATGGCTGCCAAGGACGGCAGCTTGTACTTCTTGCTGCTGAAGGACCGCAAGACCCGCTACGTGTGGGTGAAGCCGGTCGCCAAGAAGTCAGATGCGTTGCCGGTGTTCGTGCAGTGGCTGGCGGTGGCTGAGCGGCAGACGAAGAAGTCGGTGTTGATGCTGCGGTCTGACCGGGGAGGGGAGTTCCTCGGGAAGCAGTTCACCGACTTCGTGAACGGAAAGGGGATCGTCCACGACCTGACCTGCCCATACACCCCGCAGCAGAACGGCATGGCGGAACGGGAGATGAGGACGGTGGTGGAGTCGGTGCGAACAATGCTGCTGCACATGGGCGTGCAGCACCACTGGTGGCACCTCGCTCTCCGACAGGCCGTCTGGGTCCGCAACTGCCTTGAGAGGTCGACGCTGCCGCCGGGGACGACGCCGTACCAACTGCTGACCGGGAAGAAGCCCGACTTGTCGCTGGCTCGGGTGTGGGGCTGCATGGCGCAGTTCTTAGTCCCCGAGCAGCAGCGTGGTGGGAAGCTGCAGCCGAAGGCCAGGTGGGGCCTGCACCTTGGCGTGTCGGCGGCGAGCAAGGGCTGGGAGCTCCTCGACGTCGGCACCGACCGGGTGGTCACAACGTCAGACGTGGTGTTCTACGAGGAGCTGTCGCTGGCCGAGTGGAAGACCGAGCATGGGCCGGTGTCCGGCCGCTTGCCGCCCTCTGACACCTCGTCGGCGACGCTGCCACTGCTTGCCGAGGTCGGTGAGCTTGCCGCTACTGAGGACGTCGAGGACGTCCGCCCCTATACCCCTCTCCCTCTCGTGGCCGACCTGCGTGGGCTGACCTCGGTGTCGGCCTCCGGCGATGAGGGGAGTAGTGGGACGCCGCCTTCGGCGCCGGCCAAGTGCATCGCCGGCGGCCGACGTGACGAACGGCGAATCGACGTGGGATTGCAGTCAACAGGGGAGCAGCAGGTCAAGGAGCAGCAGCCGACGAGGGAGCAGGCTGCCGTGAAGCCGACCACGGAGCAGTCGGCGACCGGGACGTCGGCAGGGGAGCCGACCACAGGGGAGAAGTCGGCTGGAAAGCCGACCACAGTGGAGCAGTCGGCTGGGACGCCGGCTGAGGAGCAGCAGGACGCCGAGGGCAGCGACGACAGTGACGATGGAGGGGACGCCGCGGAGGTCCAGCAGGTACCACGGCGTTCAGGCCGGCTTCGGAGGCCGCCTGACTTCTTCGTCCCCGCTGCCTTCACCACGGTGTATGACGTGGACGATGACGACGACCTGCTGTACGACGACGCCGAGGAGGATGAGGAGTTTCCGGAGCTCGACCCCGACATGCTAGCCGACCCCGAGCACCGATGGGACATCTCGACGATGACGGTGAAGGAGGCGTTGGCGAGCTGGAAGGGCCCGGCGGTGAAGACCGCCATGGAGGAGGAGATTCGAGGCCTCCTCGACATGGGCACTTGGGAGCTGGTCGAACGCCCGCCGGGAGTGAACGTCATGAAGAACCGGTGGGTGTTGACGACGAAGTACCACATCGACGACACCGTCGAGCGAGAGAAGGCGAGGCTGGTCGTGAAGGGCTTCACACAGGTGTATGGCGCCGACTACGACGAGACGTTCGCGCCGGTGAGCAGCTACGTCACGCTGAGGATCTTCCTCAGCATCGTCGCCGTCCTCAACCTCAACCTGATGCAGCTCGACATGAAGAACGCCTTCCTGCAGAGCAAGCTCGATCGGGTGCTGTACATGTCTCAGCCGGACTACTTCAATGACGGAACCGGCCGGGTGTGTAAGCTGCTGAAGAGCCTGTACGGGCTGAAGCAGTCGCCGCTGTTGTGGTACTTGGCGCTCAACGATGTGCTGGTCGGCGCCGGGTGGAAGAAGAGCCAGGTCGACGAGGCTCTTTACTTCAAGGTCGGCGAGGGAGGAGTGGCCTGCTCGGTGCTGGTCTACGTCGACGACCTGCTTGCCGCCAGCAGCAGCGCTGCGATGCTGAAGGAGCTGAAGGAGCTGCTGGAAGCTGCCTTCGAGCTGCGCGAGATCTCGCCGGTGCAGAAGTACCTCGGGCTGGAGATCGTACGCGACAGGTCGGCGGGGAGGCTTTCGCTGCACCAGCAGGGCTACGCCGACAAGCTGCGTAGGCGCTTCCTCGACGAGGAGCAGACCGGGCGCACCCCGAAGACACCGGTCTCGGTCGGTGCCTACGCCGAGCTCACCTTCGATGACGAGGAGGCGCGGGAACGGCAGGAGGAGGAGTACCGGCAGAAGGTCGGCTCGCTGCAGTTCGCGGCGACGACGACGAGGCCGGACGTCGCCTTCGCCTGCAGCAAGCTGGGGAGCGGCCTCACGGTGAGGAGCGACCAGCACTGGCGCGAGGTCGACCGCTGCCTCGCCTACCTCGCTAACACGCGTGACACCGCCCTGGAGTTCGGCGGTGGACCTGAGTCGCTGGAGCTGGTCGGCTACGTGGACGCCGACGACGCGGGTGACAAGCAGAACAGGACGAGCACGGGTGGCTACGTGTTCGTCTATGGAGAGGCCACAATCTCCTGGTCGAGCCAGCGCATCAAGTGTGCGACGTTGTCATCGACTGAGTCGGAGTACGTGGCAGCCACCGAAGCCGGCAAGGAAGGACGCCGACTTCGCTTCCTCCTTGCAGAGTTCCGGCAGCTGGATGCCGGGAAGCCGACCGTCCTTCGGGTGGACAACAAGTCGGCCATCACAGTCGTCGAGGGCATGGGGTTGACGGGCAACCTCAAGCACATGGAGCGGCGACAGGCCTGGCTGCAGCACATGGTGAAGCGCGGGAAGTTCTCGCTGAGGTACATCCCGACCACTGAGCAGCCGGCCGACTTCCTGACAAAGGCGCTGCACTATCCGGCCTTCAACCGGTGCTCTGTCGCCATCGGCCAGGTGCGTTTGGCCGACGTGGGCGACGAAGATGACAACGTGCAGCAGTAGGTGCCATGCCTTCTTGCATGGCTGGTGCGGTGGACGACGTGCTGTTTGTTGGGTGCACGTCGACGAGCTATTCTCCGAGGAGTACTGCCGAGTGGACTTGGGGGGACCAAGCGTGAACGCGGCAGGGGAGTGTCAACGGGAGTTGTGTGTTGGCCCCGTCCACGCTTGGGCGGAGCCGACTTTGTGGTGGGGTGTACGGAAGGTACAGCCGACTTGCAGCAGTGGGGACGCCGACTTGGACGAGCTTGTCGACGGGGTTGGTCGACTTGCACGGCGCCACTGCAATGCCGCCGACTTGGGAAGCCGGCGGCCGACTTCAACTGGTGGTCGGCGATGTGGCACGTCGACCTGGAAGTCGGCACCGACTTGCAAGGTCACCGACTTGCAAGGTCACCGACTTGCAAGGTCACCGACTTGCAAGATCACCGACTTGCAAGGTCACCGACTTGCAAGGTCACCGACTTGCAAGGTCACCGACTTGCAAGGTCACCGACTTGCAAGTCGGCGCCGACTTGGGAGGACGCCGACTTCGAGAGGTCAGCCTGGAAGTCGGCGCCGACGTAGAAGGGGCGTCGACCTAGTGACGTCGACGTGGAGCTGGTCGACCAGAGGAGTGGTCGACCTGGTGAGGTCGACTTGGTGTGGTTGTCGACTTGGGAGGTCGACGAGCACATACAGGAGCAGCTGGTCGACATAGTTGCCCGGTCGACCAGGATACCTGGGTGACGAGGTTCTGCGAAGGAGTGCGACGGTCACCCAGGCGAAGTTGGCGAGACCGACCTCCATGGTGGTATCCCGAGGTCGTCGTGGCGGATCAGAGGCAGTCGCTAGCCCGAGGTTGACCTGGTGTGTGCGCTGTGCAGATGACGAGACTTTGCATGCCAATCATCTGCGCGCACCTGCAAAGCGGGTGCACTGCTGTCCTGCGTGAGCAATGCTGGCACACCGTCAACCTGCAGCGTTGGCAAGCTGTCGACTTTGCACTGCTGGAGAGCGGTCGACCAAGCTGTGCTGGCAGTCGACCAACCTGAATGCTAGCTCTGATGTAGTCTTGCCATGCCAACTTGATTGTACTATTATTGACAACTTTCTCTAGTGAAACTCTTGCCAAATTGCCCCGTGAACTAGCAAGCAGTGTGAGCACTAGGAAAACGTCTAAGGACCAACGAACGCAGACATCACACGAGCACACGTGCCTAGCCAGTACCCCAAGCTCCCGTTGTAGTAGTTCTCTCCGCAGCTGCGCCGCCCTCTTGGCTTCACTGGGACTTTTCCTCCTGGCACCCAGTGGAGCCTTCGGCGGCCGGTCTACGTTCTCCGCCAGGCACCGTGTGAGTGGCACGACACACTGAGGACTACACTTGCGGCTCTTGGGTTTGCTCCCTCCACTGTTGACCCGTCGCTGTTTCTACGCACCGACACTTCTCTGCCGCCGTTCTACATCCTCGTGTACGTCGACGACTTGGTCTTTGCCACAGCTGACACTGCTGGACTCGCCCACGTGAAGTCCGAGCTGCAGAAGAGACACACGTGCACAGACTTGGGTGAACTGCGTAGCTACCTTGGCTTGCAGATCACCCGGGACAGAGCACGCCGCACCATCACCCTGACTCAGTCACACATGGTGCAGCAGGTCCTTCAGCGCTTCGGCTTCACGTACTCCTCGCCTCAGGCCACTCCTCTGTCTACTCCCCACTCGCTCTCAGCTCTGCCTTCGGATGAGTCCGTAGAGTCAAGTGGCCCGTACCCAGAGCTTGTTGGCTGCCTCATGTACCTGATGACCTGCACATGACCTGACCTTGCATACCCTCTTAGCATTCTCGCACGCTATGTTGCTCCTGGGAGACACCGACCAGAGCACATGGCTGCAGCGAAGAGGGTGTTGCGCTACTTGTGCAGTACGTCGGGCATGGGGCTAGTGCTTGGAGGGCGGAGTCCAGCGGTCCTCACTGGTCACGCAGACGCTTCTTGGGCTGACGACCAGGCTACGCAGCGGTCGTCACAGGGTTACACCTTCAGCCTTGGTTCCGGCTCTGTTTCGTGGCGGGCTACTCGCTCGTCTTCTGTTCTCGGCTCCAGTTGTGAGGCTGAGATCTACGCAGGGGCCATGGCTGCTCAGGAGCTTTGCTGGCTCACCTACCTGCTGATCGACCTTGGAGAGCCGCCTCGTTCTCCTCCAGTCCTGTACGTAGACAACAAGGCCATGCTGACCTTGTGTCAAGAGCAGAGACTGGAGCACAGAACAAAGCACATTGCTCTCCGCTACTTCCTTGCTCGTGAGCTACAGCAGCGTGGTCAGTTGCGACTTGCGTACGTGGCCTCCGAGGCCAACACTGCTGATGTCTTCACCAAGGCACTTCCACCTTGTGATCATCAGCAAATCTGTACCCAGCTGGGTCTTGTGTCTGTCTTGCCTCACTTGCTCTCCTCTTGACCCTCTTTGTACTGTTACATATATATATTGCTACTCTTGCTTGTCTAGCCTTATATATATATGTACTCCTGCATGTGAACTGGCCTTGTGGCCTTGAACTTGTGCTCGGAATGTGTGGTGACTTTGTGATCCACCCTGAGCTTGCTTTGCTTTGCTTTACTTGACTGGTCTTGTGACCCCTAGTTCTCCCCCACTTCGCCTATGGGGGTGTGTCAAACATTATATATGTCGTAGTTGTTTAGGCTACAGTGGGTTAGCCTATAGGGGGCACACAATTCTAGGGTTTGCTACTTGTACTCATTTCACTGTTAGTTCATTCATTCCTGTTCAACACACCTTACTTCTTCCTCCTCCTATTTCCTCTCCTTCTCTACTAACCTTCCACACCATCCACCCCTTCACCCTCCTCCTCCTCTCCTCTCTCCCTTCATTCCCCTCCCCATCTCACTCTCTCCTCCGCCTATCTTCTCTCGTCTACTACTGCAGCTGGTTGCCGGCTTTGCTTCATCATTTTGCTCATCAATACCCCTCCTCACCATCCGCCCCTTCACCCTCCTCCTCCTCCTCTCTTTTCTCCCTTCATTCCCCTCCCCATCGCACTCTCTCCTCCGCCTCTCTTCTCTCATCTACTGCTGCAGCTGGTTGCCGGCTTTGCTTCGTAATCTTGCTCATCAAGACCTACCCCTCCTCACCATCCGCCCCTTCACCCTCCTCCTCCTCTCTTCTCTCCCTTCATTCCCCTACCCATCTCATTCTCTCCTCCGCCTCTCTCCTCTCCTCTACTGCTGCAGCTGGTTGCCAACCTTGCTTCGTAGCCATGCTCCTTCCCTACTGTGTTCCTCCACCTCTATTTTCTCCCCTCAGCGGCGCAGCAGCAGACTACTCTCCTGTTATCCCACCTCCTCTTATTTCTCCTCACAGTGGCGCAGTAGCAGACTACTCCGCCATTATTCTTCCTCCTCCTTTTTCTCCCCCCAGCGGCGCAGCAGCAGACTACTCCTCCATTATCCCTCCTCTTATTTCTCCCCTCAGCGGCGCACCAGCAGACTACTCCGCCATTATCCCTCCTCCTCTTATTCCCCCCCTCAGCGGCACAGCAGCAGACTACTCCGCCGTTATCCCTCCTCTTATGTCTCCCTTCAACGGCGCAGCAGCAGACTACTCTGTCGTTATCCCTCCTCCTCTTATTTCTCCCCTCAATGGCTTAGCAGTTGACTACCTCGTCCCTATTCCTCCTCCTCTTTTATCTCCCCACATTTGCTCCATTGCTACCCCCTTCCCCCGCAGGTCGACTGTGAGTTTGGTGGGGCACATGGATAGAAAGTGGTCCCTGACTGAGGAAAAGGGAGCGCAACTCGGTACCGGGCGTCACTAGTACGGAGGTGAGTAATGAGGTCAGCGACTGTGGCAAAGGCGGCCAGGTCAGGGAACAGGTACGATAGCATGAGGCGGTTGAGGGTAGCAGTGGCAGGCGAGGAGTAGCGCGCGACGATAACGTCATACAAAGACTTAGCAGTCTTGTACAGGCCAAAGTGCGCGCGCTTAGTAGAAGGCAGGTGACTACGAACAACAAGGCGAGCAACAGCGTCACGAGTAGTCCACTGCGAGCGAACTATACTGTCAGCATCGGTAGCAGGTGCAGCAGAGGCGCCAGACGTGAGATAAAAAGGCGAGACTCCGTCCTTGCTATCGCACTGAAGAAACAGGTGCAAATCATCTACCCAGACATTGAAGGCAACTGCACGTCCCTCAGCATCGAAGGTAAGAACCGTAGGGCTATCCATGGCGGCAGTAGTAGCAGTGGCAGCAGTAGCAGCAGTAGCAGCAGAAACAGCAGTAGCAGCAGGAGCAGCGCGGGCAGGGCAGCGCGGCTCAGTAGGGCAGTGCGGCTCGGCTCGGTAGGGCGGCGCGGCTCGGCTAGGCGGCGCGGCTCGGCGGAGAGGCGCGGCTTGGAGGAGCGGCGCGGCTTGTGTCAAACATTATATGTTTATGTGGTTCTAGGCTGTAGTGGGTTACACCTTAGGGGGTACACCAGATTAGGGTTTCATATTTGTACTCTTGTTCCTGTTAGTCACACCATTCTCGTTTCTCATTCTGACATGGTATTACGAGCCTAGGTTCCACCTAGGACCGAAACGTTAGGGCCCACCGTTTCCGCTAGCCGCGCCCTCGTGCGCCGCCTTTTCCTAGCGCCCTCGTGCGCCTCGTTCCTAGCGTCGCCCCTTCAGGCCCCTCACGGCCCCTCGCGCCGCCCCTTAAGGCCTCTCACGGCCCCGTCTTACGACCCCGCGCTAGCCCCTTAAGGCCCCGCGTCGGCCCCGCGCTAGCCTCTCACGGCCCCCTACGGCCTCGCGCTAGCCCCGAACGGCCCCGTGCGGCCCCGCGCTAGCCTCCCACGGCCCACCTACGGCCCCGCGCTAGCCTCCTACGGCCCCGATTGGCCCCGCGCTAGCCTCGAACGGCCCCGTGCAGCCCCCGCGCTAGCCTCTCACGGCCCCTTAAGGCCCCGCGCTAGCCCCCTACGGCCCCGGATCGACCCCGCGCTAGCCTCTCACGGCCCCCGAATGGCCCCGCGCTAGCCCCGAACGGCCCACAAACGGCCCCCGCGCTCGCCTCGAACGCCCCCCCCCCCCCCCCCCCCGCGCTCGCCCCTCTATGGCCGAGCCGCGCAGCGCGACCCCAGCTAAACCGCGCGACCCGAGCCGAACCGCGCGACCCAGCCGAGCCGCGCCGCCCTAGCCGAGCCGCGCCGTCCTAGCCGAGCCGCGCCCTCCTTACCTGAGCAGTAGCACCGCTACTACTACTGCTACTGCTACTACTACTGCTACCGCTGCTGCTACTGCTACTGCTACTGCTACTACTACTACTACTACTTCTACTGCTACTTCTGCTACTGCTACTTCAGCTATGGCTAGCCCTCCAGTTCTCTCGTTCAATGCTAAGGGCCGCCCGATTAAGTTTGAGACCTGGCTCGATGATCTGCACCTGTTCCTCCAGCTCACTGCCAGAGAGGATATCTCGCTGTACGATCACGCACTAGGCACAGTCCCTACTCCTGCTACTACTGCTGCTGCTATTGCTCGCTCACAGTGGCAGACTCGCGATGCCCACGCCCGCTTTGCTATTCGCAACTCCCTGCAAGTCGACGAGCGCGAGCACTTTGGCCAGCATCAGACTGCGCAGGCCCTGTACACTGCTGTAGTTGCGCGCTACTCCTCCCCGGCCTCAGCTGCACTAGGCCGCCTCTCGCTTCCCTACCTGTTCCCGGACCTGTCCGCCTTCCAGACAGTTGCTGACCTCATCACTCACCTCCGCACTAGTGATGCCCGCTTCCGTGCAGCCATGCCCGCTGAGTTTCTTGCCTCCAACCCTCCGCCGCTCTGGCTCACTCTCTACCACCTAGTCACCCGCCTCCCTGACACTCTGCGTACAGTCAGGGACCACTTCCTAGCTCGCTGCCCCACTGAGCTCACCATTGCCGCCCTAGAGAAGGAATTACTTGCAGCTGAGAAGAGTGTTGTAGCTGTAGGTGCCTCTCGTGGCGACCCCCGCACCCCGTTCTTCGAGGGGTGTTCCCCTTCCCCCCTGCTCCCCTCTGTCGCCTCTGCTGCTGCTGTCGACCTCCTTGGTGCTGAGCAGGTCGGGTCCGCGTCCGCTCCCACGGGCGCCGCAGCGGAAAGGGCAGGGGAGGCACGGGCGGCGGGGGTGACGGCGGGGGAGGCGGTGGTGGGGGTGGTGGCGGCGGTGGAGGCGGTGGCGGGGCTGGAGGGGCTAGTGGCAGCGGTGGGAGTGGTGGAGGCAGCGGCGGCGGCGGTGGCCGGGGTGGGGGCGGTGGTGGGGGCGGCGGTGGACGTGGCGGCGGCAGGGGCGGTGGTGGTCGTGGTGGCGGTGGCGGTGGTGGTCGTGGAGGCTCTGGCACTGGCCAGAGCACGCAGCACCCTCAGTCCTCCCAAGAGCTTCGTGAGTGGTACTTACAGCACGGGGGTGGGGGGGGTAGCCTTAGCTGCACGTACGTCATCCGCACTGGTCGCCGCAAGGGACAGACGTGCGGGAGGGCGCACACTGCGCAGCGCTGCTTCTCTCGCCTAGATGACCAGTACCTGTGTGTTCCGCCTGACCCAGGCATCCGCACGAGTGAGGCTGCCGCCCTAGGTGCTTGCGTGTCTGCTGCCCCAGGTGATGGTGAGGCTACTGCTCTAGGTGCTTGTGTGTCCGCCACCCCAGGTACTACTGAGTCCACTGAGGCACTGCACACCTTCACTCTAGACTCAGGCGCTTCGCGCTGTTTCTTTCGTGACCGCACTGCTCTTGAGCCCCTTGCTCGACCAGTCGTTGTCTCGCTCGCTGACCCCTCTGGGGGTCCGGTCATTGCGACCTCCTCCACTGTCCTTCCTTGTCCTGCTGTCCCGTCGGGCACACTGTCAGGTCTCCACCTCCCCTCGTTCTCTACGAACTTGGTGTCGGCTTGGCTCTGGCTCTGTCTCTTGGCGTTCTACTCGCTCTTCTTCTGTTCTCAGCTCCAGCTCTGAGGCTGAGATCTACGCCACGGCCATGGCTGCCCAGGAGCTTCGCTGGCTCACCTACCTGCTGACGGACCTTGGAGAGCAGCCTCGTTCTCCTCCAGTGCTGTACGTCGACAACAAGGCAACCATTGCCTTGTGTGACGAGCACAGACTGGAGCACAGGACGAAGCACATTGCTCTGCGTTACTTTCTAGCTCGAGAGCTACAGCAGCTTGGTCAGCTTCGTCTGCGTTACGTGGCCACTGAGGCCAACACTGCTGATGTGTTCACCAAGGCGCTTCCGCCTGTTGACCATCAGCGTTTTTGCACTCTTCTAGGCCTTGTGCTGACTGGACCTCACTTGCTTACTTCTTGACTTTGCCTGTACTGTGATCACTATATATATCTATACCTGCATGTTTACTCTTGCTAGGTTGTGATCATTGTACTTCTTGCTCTATTATAAATCTGCATGTGAACTGGTCTTGTGACCGCTTGCTTGTGCTCGGAATTTGTGTGGAATCCTCGAGATCCACCCTGAGCTTGTTTGCCTTGCTTTACCTTGACTGGTCTTGTGACCCCTAGGTCTCCCCCACTTTGCCTATGGGGGTGTGTCAAACATTATATGTTTATGTGGTTCTAGGCTGTAGTGGGTTACACCTTAGGGGGTACACCAGATTAGGGTTTCATATTTGTACTCTTGTTCCTGTTAGTCACACCATTCTCGTTTCTCATTCTGACAGCTTGGCCGGCAGGCAGGCGCGGGTAGCGCGCGTGGGGCAGGTGCTCACCAGGGGCGGGCAGGGCAGGCGCGACGACAGGGCCGCAAAGGCGGCGACGGCGGCGGCCGCGACGGTGGGGCCGCGACGGCGGCTGCAGGCCCGACGGTGGCAGAGCAGGGCCGCGACGGCGGAGACGGCAGGGCCGCGACGGCAGCTGTAGGTCTGGGGGCCGCGACAGCAGTTGCAGGTCAGGGGCCGCGACAGCGGCTGCAGGTAAGGAGCCGCTACGAGGGGCGGGTAGGGCCGCGACTGTCAGAATGTTATTCATATGTTCTAGCCTGTAGTGGGGTGCTCTATAGCGAGTACAACCCTTCTAGGGTTTGCTATTTGTATCCCCATTTCTGCTAGTTCACCCTCTTCCTTCAAACTTTAACATGGAATCAGAGCAGGTCCCTTCCTAGGGCCTGTTCCTAGGGCCCACCGAAGCGCGCCCCGAGGCGCGCATTTTTTTTTAGCGACCCTCCGAGTCGCCCCTCCCGTCGTGCTCCCGCTTAGGCCCCTCGTCGGCCCCCCCGCTTAGGCCCCTCGTCGGCCCCCCGCTTAGGCCCCTCGTCGGCCCCGCTTAGGCCCCTCGTCGGCCCCGCTTAGGCCCCTCGTCGGCCCCGCTTAGGCCCCTCGTCGGCCCCTGCTTTGGCCCCTCGTCGGCCCCGCGTACCCCTCGTCGGCCCCGCGTAGGCCCCGCGTACCCCTCGTCGGCCCCGCGTACCCCTCGTCGGCCCAGCGTAGGCCCCGCGTACCCCTCGTCGGCCCCACGTAGGCCCCGCGTAGGCCCCGCGTACCCCTCGTCGGCCCCGCGTAGGCCCCGCGTACCCCTCGTCGGCCCCGCGTACCCCTCGTCGGCCCCGCGTACCCCTCGTCGACCCCGCGTACACCTCGTCGGCCCCGCGTACACCTCGTCGGCCCCGCGTACACCTCGTCGGCCCCGCGTACCCCTCGTCGACCCCGCGTACACCTCGTCGACCCCGCGTACACCTCGTCGGCCCCGCGTACACCTCGTCGGCCCCGCGTACACCTCGTCGGCCCCGCGTACACCTCGTCGGCCCCGCGTACACCTCGTCGGCCCCGCGTAGGCCCCGCCCAGGCCCCGTCTCGGCCCCGTGTCGGCC